ATCGGTGACACTTGAAAAAGGTATGGTTTGCATCGTCTAGTGGTTCGTCTCCGTAAATACATGCTGGGCTTTCTGCTTTTCCCATGTTGTATAGGTATTTTCGGAAATACCCGTGACCGGACAGCATCTGTGTTATGTAGTAATTTACCTCGCCGTGTTTTCTACTGTGCCACTTCTATATTTCTTTAATCAGCTTGGCGGTCCATCTTCCTTTGCTCTCCCTTGTCCACCGATCTTGCCAGAGTTCAAGAGTTTGCATCCTAGCCTGTTGTTTTGCGGCCATGTGTATTTCTATTCCGTCTTTCTTCCATAGCCAAAGTTGTCTTCTCTCCTTTGCGAGGAGGTCTATTGGGATGACCCCGCTAATCACTAGCACTGCGGGTTCGGATACAGTGCGGTGGATTTAAAGAAAACGAATTTTTATTGTTTTATATTATTAAATTCTAAAACTCCTCTAGAATATTATACTGATGGTTGATCTGAGTAATAGTTACTGAAATACAGCTGAGAACTTGTGCGTCGTCTTTAAAAGCGTTTTTCTCGAAACTGTACTTTTAAAGCAGGTTGTCAAGATTTCTAGAGAACTACTCATCCGATTTTCATGAAATTTTAAACATTCCTTTGAGATACAATTGGATGAAGAATTTTTTCACTAAATTTTATATTTTTTTATAAAAATGTCTTTCAAAAATCCGGTTTCAGTTTTTTTCTCTCGTCCAAGTTCTAACTTAAGGTTTTGACTACAAACGTATTGTTTTCACTTTAGATGATCCTGATATAAGTTATGCTGCCAACGCGGGCGGATATTTTTTTCGAGGGGTTACCGGAAATAACATCGCAATGGTCGAGCTTAAAATATTTTTGTTTTTTTTAATTTCAGAATATCTTTGTTAATAGTGCATGTTTGTAATAATAAAAAATTCCAATAAAAATTTAATTTTTTATATTAGAAAAAAATTTTTGAAAAAAGACTGGTTTTTACCTAAGGAAACTTTTGTAACCCCTTATGTTACAATTTTCTAAAGTGTAAGGGCTCAGTTCAATCAGGTCTACAAGACAGACAAATGATCCGATATTTGTCAAATTTCATCGCGTTTGTATACTTCATAGTTCCTTACACAAATTTTGGGTGAATTTTTTTTTAAAGATACCACTTTGTCACATTGTATGGACAATACCTTCTAATTGGTTGGGGACTTTATTTTTAGCGCCATTTCTGTCATACATCCACGATAATTATAGCGCCTAAGAAAGCAATATGTACTTTCGAAATGAATAAATGATAAAAAAAAACTTTCAGAATTTGACTTTGAATTAATTGTGACTAGGCACCCTGTAAGAGGGATATTTTTATACCCTGAATAGGGTATATTGAGTTTCCCACTAAGTTTATAACACCCAGAAGGAGACTTTGGAGACTCTGGAAAAATATAAATAAATCTGTGTCGATTTATAACATCCGTCTGTCTATATATACAGGAAAAAATCTCTTTTGAGATATCGATCGGGATTATTGTCTAAGGCAAAGGTGTCAACTTTGAAGAAGTAGTTCAAATCGGATAATATACAAACTAACCGATCAAATCTCTTGTAACGCATCTTTTGTATTTTTGAATAGTAATATATGTAGCTTCGGCACAACCTAAGTTAACGCTTTTTTTTGTTTATTTATTAAATAATGTAGAAATAATTGAAATTGGAACTATAAAAAAATTTATATTTAATACGACAGTACGAAAATAGGGCAAAAACCACAGCTACCTTCCATAAAACTAGACTTCAACGCTACTAAGAGTATGATTTGAACTTAAAAAGGTCTGTTAACAAGCTGGAGGAACAGGAAGGTACTTCGCTTTTTTCATATTTAATCTTTTGTAACTCGAAAGGGAGTCTAACTGGATACATTTCGGTTATTTTGATTGGTGATGTACTTTTAAAAATAATAATTTAACATAGTTGCACTTTAACACTTAACTTTATTTGCACCTCCTGATAGACAGCCGCTTTTCACTTTAGTCTTCAATGCAACGTAGAACTGATTATATCGGTGTAACTTTCGTTTAGGCTTAATTTTTTCGAATCATGACCCAAGGTGAAAGATTGTAAAGATGACTTAAGTTAGCCAGAAACATAACTGTTATTACAATATTATTGAAGAACAGACCGAGCTTGACCTTCTTCGGTTGATGTTCATCCAGAAAAGTCTATTGCAATAATTGTTCCTTCATCTCTGCTAAATTGATATAATAAAATCATACCATACATATATATATGGTGGAATCTACTCTCTAGCTTATTTGCATTTTTGACTGAAAGCAGACTTGAGTCATACATATGTTTGCGGTGCTTAGTAATTACAACTGAGATTTAGTTAAGAAAAAATCTGTTTTGATCGCAACAAAACTATAAGAAGTAACA